GGTGATGATAAATAGCTTGTTCAGGACCCTGATGGGGATTTCTTTCTCCTGCAGTGGCACAATAGCCAGTCAGAGCCTCTGCTGCCCCCAGGAAGGACGGGGGATGTGGGGAGGGGTCATGGGGCAGGGACTGGACTGAGACCAAGGGGTTTTGGTAACAACCTAGGGAAATGGGGGCAGCTTCCCGGAGGGACCTTTTTCAGAGAGTCGTGGAGAAGACAGGTGCTGGCGGGCCGGGGCAATGGGGTATAGCGGCAGTGACTTTCTCCAAGGCACTTGGCAGGCCTCCCGTTCTCCTAGAGCCCAGTTTGCTCAGAAGGCAGGGGAGATTGCCACCTTACAGACAGGGGCAGGTCACTTATTGAGTTAGTCTGTGAGGTGCAAATGGACCCCGCCATGAGCCACAGCTCAGACTCCAGTGTGCAGTGACCTCTCTCTGCTCCGTGTTGTCCCCACACAACAGGTCGCAATGGGACGACAGCGACTTGACGTGGCAGAGGCAAGGGGCCCCGAGCTCATTCTCCTCCCTCCCCTTACTCCCCAACGTGGCTGCTGATCTTGTGCCCCATCAAGCGGCCAGCTTCCCCCAGGATGGCATACAGAGAGATTAGCCCAGCTTGGCTGATGTGCATAGTCCATTGTGAACTGCATGAAGGGCCCTCTGCAGGAAAGCTCTCCTTTGCTCCTCCAGCAAGATCTTTCTTAGCCCCTGAAACAGGAGAACACAAGGCTTGGCACATACCACAGACAGGCTCCAGAGATGGGAGCCTTGGACACTTGCAAGGCTCTAACCCACCACAGGAAGACCCCTGCCAGCTGGAGACAAGCACCAGGCCTTTATCCGCACCCCTTCATCACACCATCCTCACCTCTCCCACTCTCGCCAGGTCCCTGTACTTCTGGACCTGGTTCTGATCGTTCTGGCACTTGCACCGCAGCTCCTCTGCCCCTCGCATGTCTTGGCCTAGGACAAGTGGAGACACATGGCTCTGAGCTGCCATCCTAGCTTTGGTGCTCAATGTCCACCCAGTGGGGCTCTGGCTGCCCTTATGGCACCATGAAGGGCGGGGCCTCAGCAGGGAGGTCATCTTTCGGCAGGAGTCAATACGGACCAGACATGCTGGGACCAGTCTGGGCTGGGGGCCTGGGGATGGGCTTGCAGGTTCCCCAGTGGGACACCTAGGACTGGTGCATTAGCACAGGCTACAGGGCCACAGCAGGGCACTGAGGTGAAGAGGCCCAAATCATTAATGCTGACACCCTGAGTTGTTCCCAGGTCAGGAACGGACAGATGGAGACACAGCATCTGGCCCAGCACTTGGGACCGGCTTTTGGAGGGAAACTGCTGGCATCGGAGCCTTGTACTCCAGCCGGGTCTCCTTACCCCTCTGATGAAGGAGGATTTGAGTGAGCAAATACATGCATGCCCTGGCCTTGCAGCTGATGGTCTCCTCCGGGTCGTTGATGGTAAGACCCAGGCAGGCTGCCATGTCCCCCACCTCCGGTATGTCAGGGGAGCCCTAAGCAGGGGGAGAGGATCAGGCAGTAAATGCATGTCCCACCTTCCTTCCCCAATTCATCCCCAGGCACAGTTCTCTCTCTCCGCCTCTCCGCATTACCCAGCAGGAGGGCAGGGAGGCAGAGACCACAGTGCCAGAGCATGACACCCCTCTCTTGCCATGGGAACCTGCAGCCCAGGGACTTGCTCAGGGCCCCAGGATCATGCCCCGTGCCTCATGCTCCAGGGCTAGTAGGCCCTATGTCCAGGGCTGACCGTGCCTAGAGCAGGCCATGCAAAAGAGACCCGTAAAGAGTCAGGGGCACCACTGAGGCAGAAGCAAAGCCCTGGAGTGAAGCTCCTTGTCCAGCTCTGACCCCACTCTCCCAGGAGGGCCCTGGCAAAGGCAGGGGACCAGGACACTGGGGAAGGGGCTCACTGACCTCAAATAGTGGGAGGAGCTGCACAGCAAAGGCAATGGTGTCGGTGATGATCTTAATGCCCAGTGCACGGTGCTGGGCATCCGGCGCCTCAGTCCACGATGTAAAGTGCTGTGGGAGGAAGATGTTAAGATCAATGGGCATGAGCCCTGCCTAACCCAGCAGCCGTGGCACCATCCTCAGGACCCGAATTTCGAGCTTGGGCTTGACCATCTTCCTTATCCTTTGAGAGAGTCTTGCTGCAGTGCACACGGCAGGAGCTGTCCCGCCCCTCTGCATGGTGCTCACCTCCCAGATGGAGTAGAGCTTGCCCAGGCTGGGGGCGCTGGACAAGACGCAGCACAGCAGGCCCTCCAGGTACTCCTCGTACAGCCGCTGCATGACCTGGAAGGGGAGGCAGACCCGAGGGTCAGTGCCACGGAGCCTGGGGCCTCTCCTGCCAGGGGGTGGCTTGTGGGACATGGCAGTGGCAGGGGGACATACCTGGTTGCGATGGGTTTCACGCCTTATGGCCAGCAAGCTCTTCTCCACGGCGGCCCGCAGGAGGCGCGACTCCAGCGCTGGCTCCAGGCTGAGCTTCGGGTCGCTGAGTGGAGAGAGAAGCCTGCGTCAGATTGAGCTATGCGGGGCGGCGGTGGCACTGGGGTGGGCAGGAAACAGCCTGGAAAGCTGGGCCTGAGCAGTGGGGATCCCCCTGGCCCACAGCAAAGTAAGGAGAGTCAGTCAGAGGTCCCCGTACCTGAGGCAGCGGATGGCGTCTATGCTGTACGCCAGGATGTGTTTTCGGTTGGCCTCTACTGAGATGGTCTCCATCAGGTCCTGTGAGCCCCAAAGGGGACGGGGACGTAAGGATCAGCCACATCCCCCATGGGAGACCACCCAGTGCTGCAGGCGCAGGCAGCAGGATCCCAACCAGCCCCCTCCCACCCACCCAGCTGGGCTGGCCCTCTGCCTCCCACGGCCTTGCAAGCATGGCACTCAAACCTCTCCTGATCCCACCCTCACCTGCCCTCCAGATGCAGGATTGCCCAACGCTCAACATCCAGGTCAGGAATCGACCACTATCTCCCTCATCTATTACCTCCACGTAATGCCCAGGCCCAGGCGCGCCTGCCCTTCTCCCTCTCATCCTGCCCCACCTCTCTCCTCCTTCCTGGTCTCACAAGACCCTATTTCCATTCCTTCCCTCTCCCCACACCATCCCGTGCTGCTCACCACGATCCGCTCCAGCACGGCCGCTTTCAGGCCCTCCAGCTCCACAGCCCCCTCTCT